CTGTGACAGACTGGCACCCTGTCCAGGGTGTCCCCCTTCCCTATGCCCTGTGACAGACTGGCACCCTGTCCAGGGTGTCCCCCTTCCCTATGCCCTGTGACAGACTGGCACCCTGTCCAGGGTGTCCCCCTTCCCTATGCCCTGTGATCCTGTGACAGACTCCAGGTCCTTCCATTGCCTTGACCATGACCCCGTAGTGGATGAATTGCACTTGGAAGTAAGAAGTTTCATTTTGGCCCATTTTCATGATGTTCCTGGGGTGGAGTTAAAAGCATCAAGCTAAAGAATGCCCTCAAATGATTAAATTAATGAGCAACTCACGCCAGCTCTGTAGGTTGGTGCGATTTAGGGGGCTATTCCCTTGGTCCTCTTGCGATTAGTAATGAAGTTTTATAGTTAACCAGTCACACTTGGTCGCAGTGTCAGCATCGCCGGGGGAAACGCCGTAAAATTCACAGCGGGCGTCATCACCATGGGTACGGATGCAGGTCAGCCTCCACCCGTCGCCAGGAACAGCATCCAGGGCTGCTGCGCCCCACCGAATGGCCCAGCGCCGCGCCAAAATCGCAGCCGTGACTCATAGCGGCCTGAGGGACGGGCAGCCAATGGGGGGCTCCACTGAAAGGGGCTCCAGGCCCAGAGAAACCAGACAGCTGAAATGCCGCGTTGGCTGATGGCATTTCCTGTTAGATAAACGATCTGCACCAGATTGGGAACTCGCTTAGGATGCTGCTCCGCATTATAGGATTCATATTTTGAAGAATATTTTAATTGCAATAATATTTTGGGGTCTTATAAAGGTGAAAAAAAAACAGAGGCAGCAGAGATGCCATACAGAGGAAGGACACATTGGACAGAGACATCCCCCAGCCTAGTCACGCAGTGCATACCTCAACTGTGAGGTCATGGATAGAGGGAAGACACGACAAATAGACAGAGGACATCACACAGAGACAGAAGATAGCAGACAGAGAAAGGACATCACAGAGAGACGGGAGATGTCAGAGGAAAAGAGGACACTAAAGAAAGACAGAGGACATCACAGAGAGAGGAGATGTCTGAGAGAAAGGGGACATCACAGAGAGACAGAGGACATCACAGAGAGACAGAGGACATCACAGAGAGACAGAGGACATCACAGAGAGACAGGAAATGCCAGAGAGACAGAGGACCTCACAGAAAATAGACATCACAGATAGATAAAGGACATCACAGAGAGACGGGAAATGCCAGAGAGACAGAGGACCTCACAGAAAATAGACATCACAGATAGATAAAGGACATCACAGAGAGACGGGAAATGTCAGAGAGACAGAGGACCTCACAGAAAATAGACATCACAGATAGATAAAGGACATCACAGAGAGACGGGAAATGCCAGAGAGACAGAGGACATCACAGAGAGAGGACCTCACAGAAAATAGACATCACAGATAGATAAAGGACATCACAGAGAGAC